CCCCCCCCCATATAAAAAAAGCATGGCGGTCTCTGTAACCTACCACTATTGAACTTGTCACCGCTATCCGGCAGGGGAAAGAAAAAAAGCCAATTAGCTTGTCAGGGGGATTTATTGCTGGATGATGTTTTGCAGAAATATGAAGGCGGCTGCGGGGCCGGGGCCGCTCCCTGCGCAGTGCCATCTCTCCCGGCGGGCCGTGCCTCCCCTCGGACGCACGACGGGCTCTCAGAGCCGGCCGCAGCGCAGCGCAGCCCGGCAGCAGCTCTCGGAGCTGTCCGCAGCGCGCACAGCCGGCTCAGGGCCTCCGACTCCCCTCGCAGCTCCGCGATTCCCCCTCCGCGTCCTCGCGGCGTGTGGGCACCTCGGGCCCGGCCTCTATTCAACCCTTCCCCAACCCTCCGTTCCAGGGGCCTGCGCGGGGCGCGCAAAATGCGCGCAGGGCCGCGGAGCCGCCGGAATACGGGAGACGCGGCATTTCGCAGCCCGAGCAGGGCCGGTCCCGGTGGTACCTGAGTCTCGGAGAGGTTCAGTTGCCGGGCCAGCTCGGTGCGCTCCCGCCCCACCACGTACTGGCACCGCTGGAACTCCATCTCTAGGCGGTAGAGCTGCTCGGCTGTGAAGGAGGTGCGGGTCCGCTTGGGACGGTCCAAATCGAGGCCTTTGGGTAGGATGATCTCTCGGATGGAACCTTTGGCATCTGGCAAAGCAAGGCGCAGTCAGCTTTACACACAGGCAACCCCCTTCCTTTTTTCTTTTTTTCTTTTTTTTTTTTTTTTCCTCTTTTTCTTTTTCCCTTTTTCCTTTATTTTTTTCATTCTTTATTTTTCCTTTCTATTTCCTTGTTCTTTCTTTCTTTTTAGATTCTTTTCCTTTTTTTTTTTTTTTTTTTTTTTGTTTAATTTTTCTTTTTTTTTCTTATTCCTTTTTCCTTCCTTTAGTATTTTTTTTCCCCTTTTCTCTTCCTAAGGGATATAAGAAGAAAATCTACTCCCCTCTTTCAAGACAGAGATCCCAGTCAGGTTTGGGGTATTGGCCCTGATATTGTGGGGCTGCACCCAAGGAAGGGAACAAGAAACAACAAACCCGAGAGAGCAGGAAGGAGGGAGCAATGGGGCAATAATCCACCCTCTCTGAACCCATCTCGAATCGGCCCCCAGAGGTCGGGATGCTCCGGGCCGGGCTCTGTGGCCGCGGGCTTGAGCAGCCCTTTGTTCCCCGGGGCTGTGGGTGTGCTGGGTGCCCCCAACCCTAAAATATAAAACCATCTTTTTAGATTTTTTTATTATTATTTTATTTTTGTTTCTTTAAACAAGTTTTTCACACGATAAAAGCGTTTTGCGGGCCGCTTGCCCACTTCCAGGATTGGGACACCAGGGCTCAGCATCATGGGGGATTCTTTTGGCAAACAGGAGAGCAACGAGGGTAGAAATAACCCCGTAGAAGGCTCCCAGCGGCCCCGAACCCTTTTCTGTAGCACGGAGCGAAGGAAAGGGACAGACCTAATTGGCACCACCGCCAGGGTAGATCCATCCTCGCTCCCTGAATCCCTCCCAACTGTGCTGCCCGCAAATTTACCTCCCCGCTAAAATGAAATCAGAGGGAAGCACCAGCCGTAATCTGTCCCTCTCTGGGTCAATCGGTCGCGCGAGGATTAAGGACTGTTCCAAGGCCCCACGTTCCGCCTTGCGCTCCCTCCTCCCCCCATATCGCACCTTGAGAAAACCACCGTTCCTTCGCGGACATATCTATATGTTTTTTTCTTTCTTTCTTTTTTTTTTTTCTTTTTTCTTTTCCTCTGGAAGGAGGTGAGAGCAGAACGGTTTCGTTCGTTTCAGCCCAGAAAGAAAGGAAAGAAACAAACCGCCCGAGTGTAAAAAAACACACAAAGCCCTTCGTCATCTCGTCATTGACTTCGGGCCGGGTGGCTGCACTCACACCCCCGTTCCGGAGAGGCTGAGCGCGGTCCCACGAGGACGGCCCCGCACCCTGCTTGGCCCCCGCGGGGCGCGGAAGAAGCGCTGCGGGCCGCGGCCGGGCGGATCCCGCGGGCGGCGGCGGAGCGAAGCGGGGAACTCCGCCGCGATGCACCGCGTCTCTCCGGGGCTCCTTCGCCGGAACGGGGCAGCGCCGCACCCCCGGGGGCTGTGCCCGGACCGAACCCAGGGCAGAGCGAAGAGATGTGGCAGAAATACGGCGGCATAAGCGCGGAGCACCTTCCCCACCCCGCGGAGCACCCCGGGCTCGTACCTCTGACCAAGATCCTCCTGCAGTAGTCCGGATCCGCCGAACCAGATTTAGTTTTATTACAGTCTTCGGTAGCTGCGGAGGCAGAAAAAGTCCCTTGTTGCTCCTTCAGAAAAGAAGTAGAGATATTTCCTTCAGCCCCTTTGCTGTCCTTGCCCTCCTTGTGTCCGTTCTTCGAGACCCGATTGGCTTCAGTCTCTGTGCTGCATCTAACGTCCATTTTGTCTTGTTTCCCAAACATGTAGTGCAATAAAAAGAAAACAAAAGAAAACAAAAGAAAACAAAAGAAAACAAAAAGGAAAAATAGAAAAAAAATAATAATAATGAAGAGAGAGAGTGGCGGCGGTAGAAGAAGGCGAAGTCTCCGCTGGATATTGCACGGCTCAGGGTCACACCGGTGGGATCCGCACAGCACCTCGATGAGGGAAGGTCGGGGTCGATCCCACTGGCGAAGCTGTGGTTCCGTCGCTCCCCGCGTCCCGCTGCGCTCCGCGCGCAGGTACCGCGCTCCGGCTCCGCGCTTCTGTGTCCGCCTTATCACGGAGCCACGCGGCTGCTGGGCGCCGGGGGACGCGCACTCGCTGCTTCAATTGATTACGGGTAATTTTGCAGCCTCCACATTTAGGTTACCTCATGAATACACTAAATTGTTTGGATAATATATCAGATCGTAATGGATGGTTTGTGTGCTTGTCCCCAATCAAGCGGAGTTTAGCCAGTGAATAAACCGAAATGATTGGTCTTGCTTTCAGGAAACACACAATCAAAAGACTGAGACTTCCCGAAAAAAAAAAAAAAAAAAAGGGCGCGTCCCGCGGCGCACCCCAGGCAGGGAAAAATAAAGAAGAAAAAAAAAAAGA